AGTTGCACAATAGACTTAATATTGAGTGTGTTAATTCTACTGGAATAAAGAACCGATACAATGGAGTATAGGTTTTATACGCGTCTGATCCAAGGAACCTGTGTTATGCGGTGAACAACACACGCATCTCTCAAAGACTCTCCCTTATTTCATATTCTTTATTCTTTATTCTTCATTCTCTACTCCCCTCATCACCCCCTCCCCCCTGCCCCTATTTTTCACACCGCACTTCCCATTGAAGAAGAAAGTGAGGACTATATCGTAACTTTACGCCGATTAAATTATATGAAAAAGAAAGTTTCAGTTTTGAATTCCCCGAATAAAACGCACGTGCGGATGAGTCTCACTGCGGTTTCGTCAGCCTGAGGGGAGGTTAAAGTCCACTGGAGCATGAGTAATATTGACAAAACACTAAATACGAATTTATTCATAATATTAAAAATGACAAGACCATGCGAGACAATCGACAAATTGAAATTTTGAGGTTTAATGAATCTTTATTTCAATCATTACAAATAATTCAACAGAACATGGAATAAAATAATGTTGACTCAACACATGAATGGTGTAATGTTAAAATTAATGAAAAACTATTCGATGATTCTGTGAAAAAATCTTACCTACAACTTTGCCAACTATCAAGCCTCGATATATAATTATTTTCACTGAAAAATTATCAATAAAACACAAGTTTCGAGGCGTCGGTACGCGGATAGTTCACGAGTATCACAGGGTTAAAACTCAGTTTCTCCTGGAATCCGGGATTTTCCGTATAACACGCAGTGAATATAATAGAGAGAAGGGATAGTATCTGCACGCCGTCGCACAGAGTGTCATAACAATGGCGTCGATGGGTATTTGCCGCCAACGAGAGTTGTGACTCCGCCCACTTAACGTGTTCACCCCCACCATTCACCCATCATCGAACCTGACTTTGCCCATGATATACCCCACTCCTGTTTGTTCGATTGTGGGTAACGCCCACTTCATTGTGAGCCGACGGTGAGACACGAGTCGAAATTCCCCGGCAACTCCCGATGTATCACCGAAAAGTGAGACAGACATGGGGTTTTGGTCGGTCGGCAGAGTTGACCCAAATGAGACAGACCAAAAGGGAGGAGAGAAGGAGAGAAAAGGGCAAGCTTAGGTAGGGCGGGTGGGGGACGCTTGGAACGAGAAGGGTGGGGAGAGGTGGGGGGCATTGGAGAGAAATAGAAAGGTGGGAAAAAGGACACGAGGGAAGGAGGAGGCCGATGTGAAATCCGGCCTCTAGCTGACGTTTGCGTTGCGCTAGGCACCTCTTGTGGCTCTATAGCCAGCGCGGCGCTACGGGAAAGGCAGACTCTGGTGGTCAATCGGGCGCCGCGCACCACAGCAAAGCGACGCGTCACTGCACCCCCGGCTTTTAAGCTCCGCACACGTGGACTCGATTATAAACCCGTCGCTAAATCGATCAACCACCTGGCAATAAACTAACGAATATTTATCAACCATTGGACTATTCCTTCTATTTAATGGGGAACACATCCAAACATCACAGATTGGTGACAATATATTTCTAACTGGAGAATTATTTCACTCTCGTATCTCGATCGGGAGGTGATAATCAGTGACACCGGCGGATAATTGTGGTGCACAGTATTTAACGAATGGTGTAAGGAATCGGGAGGACTTGTGATTATCGGTGGTGAAGTTAACGCTTTCTTTGTTCAGTGATTCGTTCGTGTGAATTTTTTTTATTTTTTTTTTTTTTCACTTTGTATTCATTGACGAACGAGTTGTTTTTTTTTTAACTGTGTGGTTACGATTGTCGTTCCTTTCTGGTGACAGGATCCGGCCTGACCACGGCCATTCTCGACACGGTACGTTGGATTTTTTAAGGTTTTTTGTTTTTTTGGGATTGACGGGGGTTTTTTAATTTGGTTTTTGTGAGTGGAGAGGGGATAGTCGTTTTTTGGTGATGGGTATCGGTGGACAGTGCGTTGACGATTGAAGAAATTACTTCTTCGGGTGGTTATTGGCGTGAATGGGGCTTGGGTGGTGTCTAAATTCCGAGGTTCATGGGTTTTCTATGTTGTGGGCTTGTACTTTGGAATTATAGCAAGGATAATACCGGTAAATCGGATCTTTTCGCTTTGTGTACAACTCAGGATCGATGTTCGTTTGTAGTGGCACTGGGGTAGATTTCAATTTGAAGGATTATAAAAGCAATTGTATCGATTGTTGAAGGATGAAGTGAGGGAGCGGGGAGTTTTGCTGAAACGTGGTTACGAGGAATGTATTTTGGGGTCTTTTGAGAAGGAATGGGGTTGTGAACCTTTCAGAATCCTGAACACTGTAATATTATCTAAGCAGCGTCAATCTGATGTCACCCAAACCCAATTTAATTGTCTAAATGAATATTTAATTAACAACAGTGTGGAATATTGCTCTAACTCAATGTATCATTTTCATCTTTACAATATTATTATTAATAATCTAGAATATTTTCCGCGCATTTGAAATTGTCTCAACCATTACACACGCAATAAAGTAAATTCACAACAACTCTTTCCATAAAGACATCTGTATGCAACTGTAACTTGGGCAGAAAGAAATATTTAAACCGGTAAAAAGCGTCTGGAAAATGAAAAGAAAAACTCGTTAGCGTACCGGTTAAAACTCATTACTCTTCCATTTTTCAACGAAAACTATATTCACGGCAGCGTGATGGAACGAGTGTACAAGAGAGATGATGGTGGTGGGGAGTTTGGAGAGAAGGTGGTAAAAAAAAAACAAGTAGAAAAGTCTTGCGATGCTGTACGCGCATGGGGCTTAACTCTTCAGGATTTACGACGTAGTTATGATCATTATTATGAATGAAAAGGCTTTTTTTTTGTGCACTTGTACCCGCAATGATCTTGTGCCGAGTTTCAAAGCGCCGACGGCTCGGCTTCTCGCTTTTGTCGCGGTTTTACTTCACGGTTGTTCAACAATGCCATCAAATTAAATGAAATCGTTATATAAACATTTCTTTCTCGGTTTTAGATTCAAGTTCAAGAGTCAATAAGAAGTAAATAAACTTTTCGTTCGGCCCAGTAATATCAAATATTTCATATTGTGGAAAATGTTGGAAGGATGGCTTAGAATAAATTATTAACACATAATGGGCGACGCGGGGTCCATTAGTACGATGGATTTGATAAAGTGAGGAATCGGAAATAAAATGGAAATTCAATCTTATTGTCAATCGATTGGTCGATGTTTGATATCTGATCGGTCCTGAGTGAAATAACAAAGAGTATTTGTCTGTTTGTACGATTCCGTTACATAAATAATCCAATGATCAAACTGAAGTTCGACCAGTGCTCAAATAACAATTAATTGGACGTTAAAAGAGCCTAAGTAAATTTACAGAATGTCCTGAATAATTTAATGTATTCAGGAAAATTAATGATATCATGCAATTCGGACAGATGAAATTTCAGTCGAATGAGTGGGTTTAATGTTTTCTGCGTGTAAACACGGGAATTTTGTTGGGTAATATATTGATTTCCAATGGTGCATGGATAAAATAGATTCTAATATCAAATTAATTTAAAAATCATTGATTGGCTAATTTTCCTGCGGTGGTGATTGACAGGGGAAATTTTTCGAGTGCAGGAATTCCTAGTGTTTCGAGTCGGCATAAATTTTTAATTAGCAATTATTACCGGCACAATTTTGTCATTTTTACTGTGGGAAAATCTTGTCAGTCGGTGGCTGTTGATTTTCTTTTGACGTTTTTTCTTGCGATTTCTATAGATTTTTCCGAGAAAAATCGAAATAATATCTTCTGGTGAATTAATTGAGTTCTAAATAAATTTAAGGGAAAATGCATTTTATTTTTTGGGGGTAGAAAATGCATTTGGGGAAAGTATTAATTTTGTAGCAAAGTGGCAAACTAAATTTCATGACTTTTAACCCGGACAGGCAGAAGAGATAGACCAGTAATAAATAGTCCGCACATCGAAATCCATTACTTAATGGACCATACAAATTAAAACTGGTCTATTTATTCCGTGGTCTCTTTCTTCAGAGATTTTTTAACCCCTGAATTGCATCTGGTGCCACTGTCCTGAAAATGAATAATCAACTGTCCAGGGAATTTCATTTTGGTCTTCAGTCCGTGAACGACAAAAAATATCGTTGCTCACTCAGGCGAAAAGTTATTTTTGGCATGTGGAATTATACCCAAGGGCGGAAAGTATTCACTTTCCCGGGTAAAAAAATTGTAATCGGAATATTTTTTCAAAATTTTCTAAAAATTTCTGGAAAATTTTTCAGAAATTTTTTTTATGAAACAAAAAAAATCGGGAAACAAAACAATTTTATTTTTGAGAGTTTTTTTATAATTTAGAGGGCGAATTTTCGGAGAATATTGAAAAAAGAAAAAAGTAAGAAGAGAACAGTATAATTAAAAGAAAAAATTATATTCTCAAAGAGAGACTAATTTTCGAAAACATTTTTAAAGCATTTCCCAAAAATGCAATTATTTTGTTCCCCAATTTTTTTGTTTAAAAAAAAAAAATTCCGGGAAAGTTTTCCCAAAATTTTTGGAAAATCTGGAAAAAATATTTCGATTACAATTTTCTTTTACCCGGGTTCCTCCCGGTCTTGAGGCATGAAACCCCGAAGTACCCATAGCAGACATATTGAAAAATAGCATTCCCCTCCCTCGGAAAAACATGACTTTCCGCCCTTGACGCACAATATACCATTTCCACACTTGTTAGGAAATACACTGATTAATGTACGAGTATGGGGTGATGTTTATATGGATTTGGTTGTTTTCAGCAGTGCGGTAGTGTGGCCGGTGGTGGCGGCGGAGGTGTCAGCGGTGGCGGTGGACGGCTGAGTTTGAATTTGCCGAGTGGCGGAAGTGATCGTGTCTCAGATTACCAGCCGAGCGCTGCGGCTGTTAGGAGTAGAGAAGCGGCCGCGGCGGCCCTGCACGCGGCAAGAACGCTGTTGGGCGCGGGGGTGGCCAACCCTTGCCCGCCCACCCCCGAGCCGCCCTTTTGGAAAATGCCCCACAAAGGTATTCCTTCCAGAATCGATAATCAATAATCCTAGATTTTAAAAAAACCGCCACTAGCTCAATCACTGAGAAAAATATTCAATAACCAAAAAAATTACGAAAATTACTGATGCTCGTATAAAAAAATCACAATTATTCCATAAACTCGGCAGCACATTTCTGCAATAATTCTTTGGCAAAAATTTGCTTAATTATCCAGGTTCGAATATATTTTTCTCTGGAGGAGCGATCGCTGAATTTATCGGTGAAGTGGCGAAATGTGGAGAAATTGAGAGACTTGCAAATGCAGAAATATCGCGTTTAATTTATCTTTTATTCGCGAGAGATATATTGAGTTTTTTTCCTCGTGGCTGTAAATACTCCGTGAACCGGTGCGAAGAAAAATGCTCGTCGTTAAATTTCCGGGAGTCATTCGTCGGGAATGTACTTTTACCATTCTTGTGACGTTATGTACGATTTCGATCCGATATATATAAAATTTTATGTCTCCAAGACCGATAAACCGCGAATTCTAAAATCTCGGTGGGACATAAAATATTGTATATCACACGGTCATAAAAGGATTTGCAGGCTCATGTAATTATATAAAGTCATATTCGCCAGAAAATACTTTTGTCGGCCTGGTGACGTAGTGTACCATTAGGGAGACTGGAATTTATTGGAAATTATTTCTAAAATTACTCGAACAAACAGTAAACCCATCGCATTTAATCACTTCACTGACGATTAAATATTTTTGAAGTTTGGATCATAATTGAATATTGGTGGCAAATAATTGTGCATCAAATCCTTTCAATCCTGCAAAAAACTACAATTCAAATAAAAAATTCGATCTCTCTTTTAAGAGAAATTTTTTGTATCTCATTCTCAAACAACAGTTACCGAAATAATTCCATCACCATCAACTGTCTACCCGCTGGCTCCCACAAAAAATTCCGAGGTCTCGAAAACTTTGTGAATGGAAATAATTTTGGGATGAAAGAGAAAAAAAAATAAATAAATAAACGAACCCTTGACAGGTCATCGAAAATTATCTCCATGTGTCGTCACACGTTCCAGCATTGACGAGGATCTTCGTGACGGATTTAACCTGGAGAAACTCGAGTTAGGAAGGACCCGGGGGGTCCGAGGGTTGGCCAAGGGTTGGACGAGTCGGCGGGGAGTCCCCCGTGTGCGTCAACCCGCAAAATGCCTCTTCTCCCAAATAACACCTTTCATAAAATCAGGGAACCCAGGGTATAACCCGGTAGCTCCACACGATAATGTACCTTATAAATATTCCCATCCCAATTTTTTTTTAGTTCCAAAACCGCCGGTGCTAACGAGAAAAATTCAACCGTAAGAATCGGCCCGGTTAATACTGTAATCTCGTAGATTAGAGGCCCGTCTTATAAAAAATTCAGAGTATGCTAATTTCATCGAATGTGTAGAAAATACCGGCGTTACTGGTTTCCAGCGAGGTAGAACCTTCGAGCAACAAAAAAAAAATATATATATATTAATTCACTTTTGTTCTCATTAGCTGATCGATTTTATTTTATTTCAATTTCTATGGGGAACAGTTAAAAAAAGTAGCTGCAAAATAACCGCTATCTATTTAATATTCTCCATTTTAAACTTGAGATAGAAATTATTGAAATTCATTTCGAATTAAAATTCTCTGGCGTAAAATCCGCATCATTAAATACAGCAAAAAAAAACAATTAAATGGATTGATTTAAATATAATTATATTTCCGCTGCCCATACACAATGCGATTAATCAAGAGCTAATGTACATCCCACAAACTTTAAACCTCCCGGGTCATAATAACGTAATTGAAAAATTTAATTTTCATTTCACTCATCAATTCTTCATGCTGACGAATGAGGTGAATTCTCCGGTAATGAGCCAATAAGATCAATTTCTCTGTGATGTACAATAAATCACGAACGTATGCGATGAGAAAATAATTAACCGCAAGAAGTCAGTGACGCGGTAGGGAAGAGTGTGAACACCCGATACGTGGAGAGAGAAAAGTTACTCGTCCGTATGGGTTAGGGGTTGATTGAGGGCGAGTGGGTGTTTTAGATGTAGTTGTACAGGTAACCAAGTAGTGGGGTTGCATGTAGGGGGCTGTTGCCCCGACAGAAGCCAACTAACGTGCGTGTAGGGTTACAGACTAACCCTGGGCCAACCACCGACCAGAGTCCATACCGTTAACAAGCTTAACACTATCTTTAATATTACCTCGTAATTAGGTGCTTTGCTTCCATTATTCACCCGTAATCACTTATCAGGAATTTTATCTCCATTATTTCCAATAATCGTTTCCCCATCGGATATTCATTGAACATTTTTTTCTCATTTAATTACGGATAAAATGGCGACTCTTCACGATTCATTTAATTTTTAAAAATCATTTCTTCAATTACACCATTTTTTTGCGCTCTGTCAATAAATTTTTTCTGAATTTCAATTAATTAAATTAATTTCATTTAATTCGGAAAACTTTAAACATTTAAAAAATTCGGAAAAATCTGTACCTCCATGTAATACTGAATAATTATTTAGATCCATGAAATAATTACACTGAAATAATTTGTTGAATCTCACTCATCCAATTTAATATGAATCCTCTAACGATTCATTTTCACGGTGTTAAAAACACTTTCCAGTTGACATTATACCACAAGTGTCTCCTCAAAATGAATCTCCCCCACTTGACTATTTCGACGAAAGAGAGTGGAACGTATAACCAAGAGTACATAGAGAGAGTTGTGCATCGTTCACCTTGATTCAACTCATTAGAGTCGCGTGAGTATATACAGTTGTAGAGTGGGGGGTACTTGTCGCCATCTTTGATGTGTTGTAGCGTGAAATGAAACTCTCTTGGGTTACCCCCGGGGGGGGTTTTTCCCACGGTTTACCCAATGGTGTACAGCTTTTCCGTTCAACGCCTCTGTACCACACTCTGTGATATATACCATTCAACTTCTCTTTTTCTCTCCTCCACAAGCCCTCTTCACTCCTGTATTCATTAAAATCTCTCGTGTTCGTATGTCAATTGCGCTGAAACAAAAATGGAGAATCACAAAACATCTCCCACAGCGCCAATAATTATTCATAACACAACAGGAAAAAAAAAGTCTCAACACCCTGTAAAATTGTCATTTACAAAATGAAAAATTGATTTTTCATATTCAACGGGTTTTCAAAGGATATTCATACAAATTGATCCTCATCAATTGCAGAAAAACCGTCACTAGAGCCTCTAATCGAGCGTCATTAATCCTCCCAATATGGTTGAGCTGATTTTCCCAGCGTAAACGCCGATCACAGAGAGTCGCTCAAAATCGCTGAAGGATTCGCAATTGAGAAGGGCGTTAGCTGGAATCTTAATGAGTCTTCATGGCTCGTAAAATTCGTCCTCGTGAACCCTCGAATGGACATTGCAGTTGAGAATCCACGCTCATTAACCGATCGAGTCCTTTTCACGGAGTTGAGCGATTTTGCCGATGTTTTTTTTTTCCTGCCAGAGAGAGGAAAAAATCTAGAGGATAAATGCAAGCAAATGCAAGCTCGATCGAATAACATTAAACAATAGATTGGGGATGGGATGGGGTGGTGGGTTAAAGCACTCGAAAATGCATCGTGGCGTTCACCGGATGCTCACCCGTGGAAAATGCCGATCTAATTATCCTGCGTGGCCATTATCGCGCCCCCGTTGACAAATACACCGAGCCAAACCTCCCGTATTGCTTCCACGCAGACGTAAACTTTGTGTTATATACATATACACAACACTGGCTAACGCCTGCGAATTAGAGTGGGCATTATATACGCTTCGTATCGTGTTTTGTTTCCATTATCGAATAACGATTAATCGCATGTTACCCACACCACCACAGTATTACTCATATATCTCAAAATTTTTTGAATTTCCCGCGGATGCTTACGGTCGGGACTTTCGATTTTTGCACCCTCTTAGGTGCAAGTCTTTTATATCCACATGGAAAGAAAAATATATACTGGAATATATGTCATCCTTCACATGAATATATATACATACAAAATATAAGTTGGATATATTTAAAATCTATAAATCTACCAATGATAATTTTTGGATTACATTTTTCGACATGCGGGTAATTTCGGTAAATTGTTTTTAATTTGAAATCGGTAAATGAAAATTTTTGTTTTTCAAATATTTTCAGTAGATTCAATTAGATAAAAAAAATGTTGGGAACAGGGACGGGGGAGGGAAGAGAGAGGGAAGACGGGGAAATAATGAATAATAATATTAATATAATTTTTTGAATGTTATGTTGCAAAAAATGGGACGACAGCTTGAGACGTATAATGTGAAGCCGCTGACTGGTTGGCACGTGAGAAAGACGGAAAATTGAGGAGGGCAGTAGTGGGAGAGTAAAAAAAAGGAAAAATGGAGGGGGTTGGGTTGGGGGTGTGTGTGAGAGGGAGGGAATATAGGGAGGAGGTGCACGATGGTGGAGAGAGGACAGGAGACGGAGGATGGGATTTAATCTGTGTCCCGTTTCACGCTCAGCCAAGTGGAACCTTTTTGCCTCACTTTGCGGCATGACTCGCTTTTGCCTGGTCGTCGCGTAGATTAACGCGAAATTATAAATAAAGAATGTGTGTAGATCGTGGTGTACAGCAAGTGCGCGAGCCGCTGGTCTAACACAGACACAATCCAGGCCTCTGCCTTTTCTCTTTTCCCGGGGCTTTTTATGCCTCTTTGTTACTTTTTTCATCATTTTTATTTTTAATTTTAGCTTTTTCCTTTCTGCCTCGTGTGTGATACGCTAGAACGCCCGTGCGACGAACTTGTCGACGACGATGTTGTTTAAGAACTGCCATTTTTTTTTTTTCCCTCAAAATGTTTTCAAGATTTTAACGCATTTTTATTTTTTATTTTTCATTCGAAATTGTTCAAAATCAAATTTTCTCACTTCGTACATTAAAATTAATCGAGATAATTATTTATCAATTTGGTACTCATTTGAAAAATGAAAAATTCCCGCAAATATCTTCTTTCTAAATTCATTGTCAGTCTTAGAAGAAGAAATTTTCGCATTGATCCCATTAAACCCTGAAATTAATACGATAAAACCCCGAAGAACTTTTAATTTTCGAATGAGAGAGTTGGACTGAAACGATAAACGTTAATTTTTCATTCAATTAGTCGTTCGCATTCGACAAAGACCCGACGAAAAGTTGGGGTGTGAATCAAAGACAAGTTGATGTTGAAAAAAAAAAAAATGAATGAAGGTAAAAATTGGAGATGTCGAGGACCAACGGAATTCATTGATTAATGGGTCATATGACTCGTTAATTAATACCACCGCGACTATTTGGCCAAGCTGACTGTTAATGTTGACCGTCAGTCACGTTTTTGAGTGAAGAGAGTGGTGCATTTCGAAATTTGCTTGCCATTGGTAAATTTCGACAAAACCGATCAGATTAAACTGTACAATTCTGATTTTCACAGAGGAGGATTTGATGCACGGGGGCGGTATTGGCGGGGGTTCTATGGTCGGTCAGAACTCAATATTTGGGTGCTCGGCAGCAGGACATAGTGGGGTGAACCAGCTTGGTGGTGTTTACGTCAATGGCCGACCATTGCCAGATTCAACGAGGCAAAAGATTGTGGAATTGGCCCACAGTGGTGCAAGACCGTGTGACATATCCAGAATACTCCAAGTCAGCAACGGATGTGTCTCAAAAATTCTCGGAAGGTACGTCTCCCAATGATTCCAAAAACTTGCCAACTTGCCAACTTGCCAACTTCCCAACTTCCCAACTTCCCAACTTGCCAACTATCGACTTAATGAACTGACTATGACAAAAAAACCACCTGAAGCCAATTCTTTTAATTATCCAATCCTCCTCCCCCCACTCTTTCAAATAATTTGTCTAAATTAATTGCAGTAAATTCGTTTACAATGATTCATCTCCTATCACGTTGTATCGTAAAATAATTACAATTTGTCAGGATGGGGTGGGTGAGCATTGAGCTTATATAACTGGGGGAGGGGTGAGATAGAAGTAACGCATAATAAAAATGGCTTGACTGTACTCGATCTGTACTCGATCGGTGTGACAATAATTCCAATGGAGCATGAGACTTTCCCTGCCGACACACTGGGGCGTAGAAATTGTAGGCACTACACATTCGCTTCAGTTATTTGTACGTCATACAATTTATATACTCGTTACGTCCTCACTTCCCTTTCATCCAAAATGTTCGATTGCAAGCCTTGTAGTGACGCTATTTTTAACGAATTCCGGTAATTATGGGATCTTTGTAATGATGCATCAATTTTCATGGGATCTCATCGATTTTTTTTTTACTTTATTCCCATTTCAATTGTGCTCATCTTATTGTATTGATGTTGGATTTTCAGATATTATGAGACTGGCTCGATAAAACCTAGAGCGATAGGAGGCAGTAAACCGCGAGTTGCAACGACACCAGTGGTGAATAAGATCGCGGATTACAAACGTGAATGTCCCTCGATTTTCGCTTGGGAAATACGGGACAGATTGCTGCAGGAGGGCGTATGTAACAACGATAATATACCTAGTGTGAGTACATTCAATCATAATTTATCAATCGTTCGTTATTTCTCTGATTTGTTATTAAAATAGTCTCTTCCCGGGTAGAAAAAAAATTGTTATCGGAATATTTTTTTCGAATTTTCAAAAAATTGTAATGGGAATATTTTTTCCGAATTTTCCAAAAATGTCTGGAAAACTTTTCAGAATTTTTTTTTATGAAACAAAAAAAACAATGGGTAAACAAAACAATTTTTTTGGAAAGGTTTTGAAAAATTTTTCAAAAATTTGAATAGAAAATTTTTTTTATAATTTCGATGGCGTTTTTTTTTGAGAATATTGAAAAATCAAAAAAGTAAGAAAACAACAGTATAATTAAAAGAAAAAATTATATTCGAAAAAATTTCGAGAAAATTATTGAAAAAAAATTCCGAAACAAATTTTTGAAAATTTTTTCAAAACATTTCCCAAAAACACAATTGTTTTGCTTGCCGATTTTTTTGTTTCAAAAGAAAAATTTTCTGAAAACTTTTCCAGAAATTTTTTGAAAATTAAAAAAAAATATTCCGATGACAATTTTTTTTTATTCGGGTTATCAACACTCCCTGATCGTTAGATTGAATAAAATTTCAATTCCACTCGATTCAAAAAATCCAAAAGAGTCTTTTCTCCAGAATATCCATTGGCATTCTCCACTCACTAATATCTCCCATAAAAACCAAACTCGACACACTTACCCGTCGGATCCGTCCACTCGACCCTAATCAAAGTCTCGTCAATACAATCCCTTAGGGTATGTCCACGGGATCATCTGGCAGGGGTAATCGCTCCATTACAGTCTTCCGTCCTTCGGAATTCTTTCCCCTCGACGAAAGAACTTCCCTCGGATATACATTCTCGTTCGTTACACGCACTAAAACGATTCATTCCTACAGAAGCCAGTAGAACAATTCAGTAGACATTTCACAAGATCAGTGACAATTATCCACTATCTCAATTAATTACCGACAAGTGAATCGTACGCCTCCATAAATATTAGAGCAGATAATTGACTCCTATTCCCAATTTTTCAAATCATTCAAATGATCCCTGCCGATTTACTTATACTGACAAGTCACCGACAATTCTTCAAGCTTAAAGTTGCGATCGGCACGCGTATCCGTCGTTATTCCCCGGATACACGAGACTTGAGAATGAATGGGTCCTGATCAATCGATGATATTTTTTTTTCTTCCCCACTTTGGCCCAAGGAACTCCTCCGTCAGATCGACTGGTGTGCCGGGGACATTATTACAGCTAAAAGTTGTACGTTCATTTATTGGGGTGATAGTTAACAACCGGGGAGAGGGAGGAGGGGGGGGGGGGCAGAGGAATCAGAAACGCTGAATGGAATCAGTTAAGCGTGTTGGACAATTATTCGTGTCTGGTCGGCCGTGTAATGGTTGTGCCCTGTGACTGCATCGATATAACTGAGGGCGAAATGCGCCTACAACATTCGTGGTTTTAAGCTTCAAGAAATTATACCGCACACAGTGCACAATATCCCTCGGGGGATATTGCCCGCTATTTCGCGGACAGAATGGTGTAGATTTTTTTTTTGTCCATTATTCCTTTCAAATCAATTGCCACTGATTCAGTGAAGGCCTCGGTGAAGGGATCGCACCATCGTCGAGGTATCGAGCACAGATGTGGTGACTTTTTTAAAGGGATTGAATTGATGATTATTATTTGTCTCTTTTATTTTAAATTAATTTTAAAATGAATTCAATTGTTTTATTAATTTAATTATGACGTGAATTAAGCTGAAATTAAACTGAATGATCTAATCGGTATTTCATTTCTTGGTTCATACGACAAGAAGAATGATTATTCGCGAGATGATGTGCAATTTTTTTTTGCACGCTGACATTATTCTACGGATAATTAATCATCATTTTTGCACTGTTTTGTGCATCCGCGTACCGACGATTAACAACAAAAAATAGGGAATGCATAACCACTTACATCACAGTATTTTTGCCTGGAGAACTCCCAGGACAGACGTCGGCTCGTTATAACTTTGCAAATTTACTCAGACGAGTCTCGACTAACCGAGCTGTTGTCGAGTATTTCGGGATATAACGAAGGTACAACGACCAAGAGTGAAAGCACCAGGAAAGCGTTTTATGTAATAATTGGATGGCGGTGTCCTTTCATCCATTGACCATCCCGCTTCTGTATTCCAAAATGAAAAAAAAAGAACTAAAAATCCAAACCTTTTCACTCTAGCCACTCGATGATCACCATTGTCCGTCGGTGAACCCCTAAATAGAAAAGCTTCACAATTATTTTCATTCTCCAAGCCTCAAAACTATCTGAGAATCGAATCAAACGGTTGAGAGGAATCATAATCGAGGATGGAACCTGGGATCGATGAAAATAACGATAGAGTGGTTTTCTTTTTTCTGCTGCAGGTGTCCTCCATCAACAGGGTGCTAAGAAATTTGGCTTCTCAGAAGGAGCAGCAAGCAGCGGCTGTTCAGGTACATCAGGGCGCTGAGAGTGTTTACGATAAATTGAGGATGTTCAATGGACAGGCAACTGGATGGCCACCAGCGTGGTACTCAGCTACACCCTCTCATCATCCATTGGCAGCTGGAATGCCAACAACAGCGGCACCTGGATCAGGCCAGTCACTCATACCTGGTGGACAACTCCACGCTCGTGATGATTCCCTTCTCAAACGATCCGGTAAGTTCAACCATTGTCGGACAATAATCCAAAAATCTCCAAAAATCTCCAAAAATTTGGAATTCCATCAAACACCTGATGACACTTGCAATTTCATAAGTACTTCATCTTCAAATCCATATTCCAATCCATATTCTTGAATTAGACTTCAATTAGAACATTATGATAATCGTCAGATCCTTTGTGAGTGATGAAACGTGATAAATCAATTCATCCCTTTCTTCGCACCACAAAATTATCAAGAGAATGGCGCCCTCCAGCAACGACAAACACTCCTGGATCTTTTGTTCCAAAATTACTCGTCTTTGAGATAATTGTATAAGTAATGAAAATGTAATATTCAAGGTACTCGTGCAACATGATAGCTCATTGTATTTATTATGACATTATTATTCCCACAACAGAATGCAGCGGAAAAATATTATAAAAGATATGACAGTATGTTGCTGTCAAATCACTGGGTCCCGGGACAATTGAATCGAAATGAATTCGAATTGCCGATTGAAATTTATTTGCCTTTTTGAATTTTTTTTTCAACGTTTCCGTTGCGCCTCGAGGACTTTTGTTGGAGTTAAGTCCAACTCCCACTCATGGCTTTTCTCGCCTGTTAACAATGGGATCTCCAGATTTTATTCTATTTTTTTTTTTCGTAACTGACGCAATTGTGTATCACTGAGAGTTAAGCCCCAGTACAGAGAATTTCGAGCGTACCTGAATATATCCACTCCTTCTCTTCCCACGTTTTCTTCATCTCTACCCCAATGTTGCTGGCGTTTACTATAATAGGATCACCGAAATCGTCCAAGCGGCTCAGATTGCGGGCGCAGATTGGCCCGCAGATGACGATTCCAGATGCGGATGGGAAGGCCTTCTCCTGCTTTTGCCTCATTCTAAAACGTTCAATAGGCAGATTAACTGTGCGCGCGCCTACAGAATCACTTCATGCTCCATGGGATTTTACAATTTGGGGGTGGAGGAGGAGGAGAAGGAGGGCCTCCATGGAATCCACCTCTTAGGAATAAAAAAAATTTCAACGATCAAGGGTGATTTTTTTTTTGTACAGAAGTCATTTCTTCCCAAATCGTGTGACAGCTGAAAGTTTAATCACTAAAGCGGAGCAATTTTCCTCTCTGGTTTTGATTTAATTGGGACAATGACAAGTGGAGCACTGGGAAAAGTGTGAAATTCCAATCAACTTGTTCCAATCACTGTCAAATTTTCATCATCAAAGAGTACAGCATGTTGACGTGTCGTATACAGAGAGGAGTTTAAGCAGTATACAGAAGCGCGCCGAAACGGAATCGAGTGCAATCGGACGAATTGGAATCGGTAGGTCCTATGATCCGACTAGTTTCGCTAGTTACACCCTAGGTTGGGCAATGGTTGGTACAGGGTTGGGGTAGTTTTGGGTGGGTTTGAGCATCATCACCACTGGTGAATTCGCGCACTAATTTGAAGACGTGGCCGTTTGTGTGTGGGTGTCGAAACCCTGAGGAGGGTGCTGGGTATTTCGTGAGGAGGATTTTGAAATGCTGTCCGGTGAGGGGGATAGTTGTTGAGAGACGGAGAGAACGAGCGAGCTGATGCTGAATGATGGAGAGAATGAGGGCTGGATGAGGGTGGGAAAGAGACCTAGACGGGATGGAAGAGAGAGGAATATCGAGGGTTCGGTGCGCAGAGGCGGAAGATAATCGCTGGCCCTCACTCGGTTGCTTGACAGCCCTGTCCTGTATACTCTAGCCAACTATTTCTCCATGTCATTTCATCATTTTTATTCTCGATATCTCAATCGTCCTATCAAATATTCAGTTACAAGTTCCATTTGAATTTCGATGGAAATTGTTCACTCGATTTCTCATTCACCCAACAAATTAAACATCAAATGCATTTTTATTTTTAATATATAGAAAATTAAGGGCATTCATTGCTCGAAGTTTCTATCTCTAGTTTGCTAACAAAAACGCGATGAAAATTCCGAATTCATCACTTTCAATTATTAAATTTTCAATCAATTTGAAAATTCCACGGGACGATAATTTTCGAATAAAATAAAAATAAGAATCTGTTCTCCTATTTGTATACAGTAGAATCCTGTTATAGTCGCACCTTTCCTCACTTTCTGTTTCCGCGGATCTTTCTGTTCCCTGATTCTACCACCTGCGGGCTACAAGATGTGGACAATCCATTATTTCGGACGTTGAGGAATCGACTTCGCTATGAAAAAATTCAATCTAAAAAATGCAATGCACTCATTCTCTTCCAATTGGATAATTTCTCCTTCCCCATCCGTTTTCCTGATTATAATGTTGAGTTTAAAAAAAAGGGTGAGAAAAAAGTGTATTTGAAAAGCCGTAGAGCTCGTAAAAGTGAATTACATTAAACAAAAACCCATTTCACTAAATAGTTCCTCTCCGGTTATTGTCCCACAGATGCTGGATCCCTATTGTCCCATCAACAGGAGACAACGTCGGACGGTAATTCTGAACACAATTCATCCGGGGACGAGGATTCACAAGTACGACTCAGACTGAAGCGCAAACTCCAGCGCAATCGCACGTCATTCTCCAATGAACAGATAGACGCCCTGGAAAAAGGTAAATCTTCGGACTAAATTCATCACCCAAGAGTCCTTCAAAAAATTCACTGAACTGTAGAAGAATTCATTCGATCCTAGAAGAAATTCCTCTAATGATTATCCACTTGTTGCAGTCTACCGGTCCTTCTTACCTCCTTTTTTTTTCTTTTACTTACAGAATTCGAGAGGACACACTATCCGGATGTGTTTGCACGGGAGCGTCTCGCCGAGAAGATTGGATTGCCTGAGGCACGTATCCAGGTGAGTGTGAATGTGCGATGAGTGTGTGAAAACAGCGTGCCTCCAAAGTTTTACTTGTGTCCCTCGTTCTCCTACCTTCTCTCATTAATTCTCCCGTCGTCAAGGATCACCTCAAGGTTGCAGAAGTCAAATTCATGAAAGAGCTTAATGAGACTCGAACAATCAATTCCGTCATCAAAGAGGATTCAAACAGTACATCTTCATTACGATTTTAATATCTCGATGATCAGTCATTCCGAAAACTTTATCAAGAAAATTCATCGACAAAATATTTTCTTGATTAATCATTCCGAATTAATCATTCGGAATTTTGTATCTTCATCTTCTCTTTTGATTCCTTGAATTAAAAAATAATGATCCTCTCTTAATTTTAATGAATTAGTCCCAAAAATAAATTGAAGAGCGTTTAATTTTCGGAGTAATTTTGATTACTCAATCGCTCGATTCACCTATTCTCCTGAAATCCTCCCCCTTTCGTGGGCACGTCGTAGGAGTCGATTCGAACCCCCAGAGTCTTCATCAAATCAAATATTCCTAAAATCCCTCCCTTCAACCAATAATAATCATTACGATTCATCCCTCATTCCCGGAGCTCCCTTGTATCCCTCCCAAGGTCAGACAACGATAAAAAAAAAATCCAAACTCAAGATAACCCAATCAGTCCCCCCACCCCCGCATTACCCATCACTACAATAACTTGAATCAATGCATAATGTCGAATGAGCAAATCTCCACAAGGGCAGAGCATATCCCAAAGCCAATATGTGCCGAGTCTTGTTGTACATTGTTTGAACCGATAACGTTTCACTCTCTCCATCAGCGCATGGAGACCCTCGTTCACGCCGCTCCATACGAAGAACAAGAGGATAGATAAAAGGGGAGGTACGATAGAGTAGGACAGGAAGATCTAACGGGGACTTGTGGAAAAGCAGTGAGGAGGTAGATAAAGGGGTTGGAAAGCGTTATGTGAGCGTACAAACAGTGCAAGACCATGTTGACGCATGTTTTCAAGCCTCGTTGGGTGGTATTGATCTTGCTAAGTGCAGGAAACCGGGAGGTACCAGTATGAGAGTGCAAGTGAGAGGATTGAATGGACGTGGTACAGACACGAGACGAGGAAGAGTCTAAGAGGGATGGGCTTGGAGGTGGGTGAGACAAACCACGTCGATCAAGAGTTGAGTTTTGGTTGAGACACATGCCTCGAGACCTGATAAATACCCGCGTGGATAGTTCACACCAGGTTCGTGATGATAGTTGTGTGCAGCTATTGGAGTACACCCGGTATTCTAGGCTAACGCTATCTATTAACCAAACAGTGTATGGTGAGAGGGGGTGGGAAGGGGGAGGGTTGTTATGTTCTGGTCTGCTCGACGGAGGGAAAACGTGAGACAAGATATGTAGTGTATGAAAACGATGGGGGATGGACGGCTGAGTGAAAGGGGATGAATGGGGGAGGGTGTTGGGTGGCGATGCTGGGGGTGAAGAGGAGAGGTATAAAGGCCTAAGAGGGTTCGGACGCAACCATGGCAACGTCGCGTCCCCGGGGAGGTTGCCCTCTGATTGGCCGTTGCCGCTTTTATACCTCCCTGTGTATAACTACTTGCCGATTCACTACCACACGTTTTATACCGAGGGAATTCTTCTGTATCTCTTCGGTTTCTTACTGGGGTAGGGGGTAGAGAACAAACGATTATCCGGGGGTTGTAGCGGAGGGCGGAGTATAGACCGAAAAATAGACGGTGGCGATAATGGCGAGGGATTAGGGCTTTTTTTGGATGAATTGTTTTTTAAATACCTCACCTTCCTTCAATTTCACTCTCGGTAAATGACTGGTGAGGAGTCATGAATTATTGCTGAAATATTTACCGAGTATTTCACCCCGTGTCTGACCAAAATCGAATGTTTCCACTTGATGAATAAGTTCATCTGGAGTTTGTACACTTCCGGTGAAATTTTCGAGTGTATGGCTGTTGAGAAAAGTTGATAGTGTGAATGGTGGAATGTATGGGGATGTGAGTGTTGGCTCGAGTTTGACATCTGGCTTAGTTGAGTACTTTTGATTTTGCAGGTTTGGTTCAGTAATCGTCGGGCTAAGTGGCGACGAGAGGAAAAGTTACGGAATCAACGACGCGCCGCTGTGGATCAAGTGGTTGGTGGTGGTGGTGGAGGTGGAGGTAATGGAACAGCGCCACCTGCAGCAACACCAGCGACACCTAGAATACCATTAAATGCCGGGTTCAATGCCATGTACTCGTCCATACCCCAACCGATTGCAACAATGCCGGATACTTATAGGTCAGTTTCTTCATGAGCTTCCTGAGCTTCATGAGCTTCATGAGCTTGTGGTGGAGTCGCATGAATCAGATAGTGATTCACGTTGAGGAATTTTGAATCAATGTAATGTTTATGATTATCATTCCATTCAGACGCCATTTTGATGATCATTGCAGTTCGATGACGAGTAGTCTCGGTGGATCGATGGGCAGCAGTTGTCTGCAGCAACGTGCTGAAGGCTATCCAGCTTATGTATTTCACGAACCTCTGCACAGTCTGACTCAGTCGTATTCGCATGCTCATACGACAGCAGCACATTCACAGCCTCATCGGGGTATACCCACATCACATGGGGGCACTCCAAGTACACCTGGAGGTCAACCCACTGGACCAGGAGCAACGCCTTATCAGCCAACTACCTCCACAGCCACTGGTAAGTTGCCATAATTTACTACTCGCTCAATTCAATTGATTATTTTTATCGAATTCATTGTTGCACCTATAAAATGAAATTTCAATTTCATTAAAATCACGAGACTTCAAAGTATCCTACTGCTTTCCCCTCAGCATCATAAAAATTCACCATTACGCGTTCAATCTTGACGCGTCAAAATGGCGGCTAGTATTCACTCGTTCGCACATAATATTGCAATTTTCGAGTGAATTAGTACGACACAGAAACAGCTAATTCCCTCATTCATGACTTGAAAATCATCATTTCCACTCTCGATTAACACCTATGCATGCGCAACACGATAAACCTCTTGATGGAATTCCCACCGACATCAAACTGCAGTGGCGGCATTTGTCGAATGTAAAACAGGTGGGTCATTATAAAATCAACTACATCCCAGTACCCAGGGAGAAAGTCCCGTGTGAGCTTTGGACGAGGGCTTATATCCAACATAGAGAACTTCTCATTCCCCAGTGGTATATAAGTCTACAACCCGAATATGAGAGAACGTACGAAAACACTAATGCGCCGGATGTGAATAATTTTCTTTCTGTTCCATTTTCATTTATTTAACTTTGAAACCCCGACAAACCGAGAGGATAACGGAATTCATTTGACAATATTCCTTCGGTCTCCTTCCGGCGTATCTACCCCGTGCCAAACTCCAGTCGTTTCACTAGCATTTTAATCTTTCCCATTAAAAAAGCAAAACAATGATTTTCCCACCCCCAAAAAATTCATAACCCGCATTAAAAAATGGCGTTGAAAAAAAAAATCGCCCCAACCCGAGATTCAGATTTCCGGATAATTCTTTGATACTAAAAAAAAAATTGCAAAACCCTCAACCCATTCCTGGAGTTATTTCAACCCCCTACTCCCCCCCCCCCCCATTTCCTAACAAATCCACTCTTTCCCATTTTCCCTTACCTGCAACCATCCAATAGGACTCACATAGGTAAAATGTAAAATAGAGCCAACGGCATATCGGGATTACCCTACGGGATTCTGTCCAATGGCCAACCGGGAATGAACAGAACCGAGTGAGACAACTACCCTCTTTGCACGCAATCTACATAGGGTTTCGTAGCTGCTGGCGTGCGGTACACGCAAACGATTGGAATTGTAAAAGGATTTTAAAACAAATCTCGCATAGAGTCGCCGTGAGTTGAATCGAAGAATAAAAGGGTGCACCACCCCCGCGCACCCCTTTCCCTATCTGGACGTATTTGGTGTGGTTTTTCTCTTTGTGTCTCTATCGTCCTCTTTTCCCCTTGAATTTTCCATTTTCCTCGGGATCTGTTCCCCTCACTCCTCCCCACCATTTCTCTCTCACTCATCGAAAAAAAAAAAAAGAACCTACACGTCTGTGCGAGTCGAGAAACGGAGAAAGAGAGAAAGTGAGGGGGAGGGATAGGGGGATGAGGGTGAGAGGGAAATAACGGAGGATGTGGATGGGTTGGGTCTCGCCTCGGCTGGGCGAGCGCTCAATAACGTGCGAACCCAAAAGGGGGTTGGAGGGTGGAAATAGGGAGGCATAGCGTACCAACTGGAATGGAGTGAAACGGCTGGTTGGTGCAATGGTGGTGGTAAAAAGTAGTGCTATATATCTTTATATCGCATAATGCTCATGGACATGGACCCCCAGAACCTGGAACCCAAGCTTATTTACGTATTTCTGTCTTACTCGCACAAACCAACCCTCTCCACATGTTATAGTCTCGTGCATACCCGTCATGTCACTCTTACGAATTTTCATACAACCCCCCCTTTTCCCCCTCCACCCCTTTTTCTTCCTTTTTTTGTCACAAGAATTTCTACGTTGGAGTAAACTCTCTTGCGGTAGCTCCTGCGTTGCATGTAGAAACCCCCTTGTATATATATTTTTTTTTTCCATCCACCTCTTCAACATCTTTTTTTTTTCTCTACCCCGACTCTCCTTGTACACTCCATTCCCTCCGTGTATAACACATACAAACGTTATCCATCATAATCGCTTTACGCCAGGGCGTAGCGACGCGACAAAACTTTCACTCGCTCGTTAAACGCTCAGAAAAAAAAAGAAAGGGAGAGAGAGAGAGGAGTGAAGAGAGGAGAGTGCGTTATTACAAGGGTATATATTGCGAAGGTACTTCTGGGAGGAGGTGAAGAGATTTTTTTTTACAGCCCTCGAGGTAGCGCGGGAGGGTCCATTGATTTTTTCAAGAGTTTTACACGCACAATATATTTTTTTTTACTCCTTCATTCTTTGATGTTGAATGTCTGATTGCGAGGTGCGGAGAGCAATGCAGAGAGTAATAGCGTGATTTTTTTTTTGTGGTTTTCTCTATGGGTTTTGCAGGAGTTATATCAGCGGGTGTGTCGGTGCCAGTGCAGATACCATCGCAGACACCGGATTTAGCTGGTAACTATTGGCCTCGACTTCAGTGATCCCAGCTATTCGGGTTCCCGCCTGCGAGTCTTCTCGTGGGCCAGGAGAGCCCGCCTCCAGGACCACCAACACCTAATGCGGTATCCAGACCGCTTCTTGCTTCGCTCGGTCTACCACAGTCATTACCATCTTCAAACCTTCCATCATCAAACACCATTGGCCAGAGTGGACATCAGACCAGTACACCAGCAACACCAGTCACCAACTCCGATGCCAGTGAGTGAATCAAATGAGAATCATTGGGGAGTGAGGAATTGACGGATTGTCGTGGGGAAATCATCAGGTTTTTTTTTGTATAAATGGGGGTTTGGGGACACCCGGGTCATGCAGGGTTCTATTGAGAAAGTTCAAACCCGATGGACCATTAATAAAGCTGAAATTAATCAGTATAATTGTTTTTTTTTTTAAATCTGTCTCTCGGTTAAAATTCAGGGTATTTTGGGGTGGCCTCGGGAATTGTTGGATCAACTGGTGAGGGTTTGACTCAAGTTTTTGTGAAGGGGAGATTGATTGGGTGGGGAGGATCGTTAGGGTTCAGAATGTGGTGTCTTAGTGTGCGAGGGGATTAATTCGAGTCGCAAAATATTTTGAGTCGAGTTTAGGAATGGCGAATTTTCATGAGATGCAGATGAACTTAAACGATCAGTGCGAAATTCTGAGTGAAAGCTTGACGCAAGTTTTGCAAAATTGTAGTTACCAAATAATTCATTTGCACTCGAGAAATTGTGATGGATGTTCTGAAAACAGCGATAAACTTGACTCAAATAGATAATCGACATCCGCGCGTCTGAAGTTAATGATGAAAAATAATTGAATCAAACCGGAAACCTCCACTCAATATCGAGATAATAACTGAATGTTTTCCTTTCCTCGATCTCATCCAAAATGAATTTCACGCCGAACTACTCTCAAAATTTGAATTCCTCTCCGAATCAATTCGGGAATGCGCTGTTAGAATTTTTTTTAAATTCCATGAAATATATATGAAAGAAATAAAAAATGAATTCAAGTCCTCAATATAATTCGTGGGAATTCATGACTTATTTCTGAACTCGATTGAATTTCCAATGAAACCTGAATATTCAGTACGAAAACTATTTTCCTGGCATACTCTATCATTGGATCAGAGAAACAATAATATATAATTTAAAAGCATTTCCAGCAATTTATAAAACTGAAGAAAAATATTAATAACAGTGAATTAATTGTTTTTCTGCGTGAAGTCTTGAGTGTAACTAAAGGAGGATTGACTAGGAGATCGATTGTTCCGCGAGTTTAATGTCTTTGCGTCGTATGGTAATTGCAGAGTTAAGGATGTGTGGGATGTCGGGAGAAGATAACTCGAAGAGAGAAATTGTGAGGGAAAAAGGGAGGACAGAGAGAATTTGGTTTGGCAAGTTTTCTACCGACGGCTGGTGGTATTCTCGAGAGGTTTGAGAGCAGAACGGGGTGGCCATTGGGGAGAAGAGGGTGAGTTGAGCTCACTGGGATGAGCTGTTTTCGGGGGATGAGACGAAAGAGGGTGGCAGAGGATTGAATGGGATGAGAAAGAGGGCTGGAGGTAGTTTGCGGGGGGTTGGTTTGATAGCTGCCTCCGAAGGGTGGCTTCCTTGGGGTCGGCCATCGCGCTTCTCAACGAGATATGGCGCCGTATCCCAACTGTCGTACTTGTATATCCAATCGGTGTTATCATCCATTTATTATTCGAAAGAAAAAAATAAGATGAAACAATCATCTACCAATAATTTTCATTACCTGATTTATTTGATTTTATTGGTGCCTATTTAATTTATTGTTCCCATGGTGAATTGATTGTTAAGTCGGTTAATCAATATTTTCTGTTGTAATATCATTCTTACGGAATAATTTAATGGACATATTTTTCGTGGAATAATTTTCTTTTTTTGATGAAGTCTAATGATAAAATTTAATGAGAATTATTATGGTTCATGTATAAAGCTATTGTAAAATACAATTTGTTGCTATCGTTTAGGTAATATGATGTATATTAATCGCATTGATACTTGTATATAGAGAATGAGGAGTTTTGTTCGAACGCATGACTGTAGTATATTACATTTAAAAATACAGTTTCCGACAGATGAAAAGAATAACAATAATATTACGTAATTGGTGTTTTGTATCCTCATGCCGAACTAATCCACGCCAGTAATGACCATTCAAACTTTTCTTCCCTCTCATCCACTCATCCTTCCAATTTGTACAAAAAATATATTTTACGGTCATTGCTATTTTTTGTTATTAACCCGCGACTGACTCGACATTTATTATTTTTTCAGTAATAAATTCCGCATTAAAAACACCCTAGTGAACCGAAAAAACTTTTGTTTAATGAAAAAGCATTTCATTGGAAATAAAAATTATCCGGGAATGTGACTGAGGGGCTCGGGAAAAGGGGGGAAAAGGGGGGATTTGGAGTGTGTACAACGCGTTGACGAAAATAATGAAGTACCACAGGTGGAAAAATCAACCACCTGTGAAGCGGTATTAATTTTGCAAGCGAGTTGCGTTTATCGGGCCTTTTTTCGCTCTATTGTACGATTCAATGATTTCATATAAATTTTTTTTTCGCTAATTGGCTGACCCTTCAAATTTCAGTGAAATTTTCGTACTTTTTTCTGTTGTATTCAATATCTCTTTATTTCACTGGCTAATATACCCCGCAATACCCAGTAATATATAACTAATTATGAATAATTTATAGGGAATAACCAGAGAAAAAACGCAGAGCCAAATTTTTCACAACAATCAATGTAGAATGGTAGAATTGAGATAAACGAGGGGGAAAATAAATGGTAAAGAGTGTACGTTCGATCTCATAGTTGCAGTCAATAAATAGATATTCATTAACAGAGCAGAATAAAATTAATTGAGGGATTAATTGAATTATCGATGCGATTATAATGAATTGTGTATCATAAAATGTAAGAATTATGAACTCTAGTACCAATTAAATGATAATTAAAGTCAGTAGGAGGCGACCTTCTCGATTAAGGATACAAAAAAGTATTTAACAAATTTTTATGGAAAATGTAACATGTAGGGGAGGTGAGATTAATGACCCAAGTAACGATGAAACCACGAAAATGCTAAAAGTACATTCGCAAAATGAAAAACAAAAAATAATGTACATTGATTCTTAAATTTATATTTTTGGAACAAAATGAAAAGATAAAAAAATCCCGTGAAATGAATTTAACGACGACAATGTTACTAATTAATAATACTGATGAAAGGTAATGAAATGAATGAAAAAAAAAAATTGTAGCAATAAAAGTATATAGCAAGAAGATAAATACAGAATTTTTAGTGTCTAAAATTCAGTCTCCGAGATGAAAGAGATAAATATTTGGTGGATGGGAGATATGAAAACCCTCGTTGGAAAAACTACTCGAGGGGTGGCTGAAGACACGATTTATATAGAATATACAGAATATATATGTATATACATAAAATTAAACCTGCCCATGCCACTTCCGTGTTAACGTTTCGTTGAACGTGATAATTGGAAAGTGCTTCCTCACGAAAAGGCACTCATTAATGTAAAATTGTTTCAGCGTGTGTGTTTTAACCAAAGATGCAGTGCATTTTCACTACTTAAGGGACGATTAAGACACCATGATTTCATTATACTTCAACTTATCATGCAGTAGTTAGCGATTGAGATATCCGAATTCAAGAGTTACTCAAATACCAATGAGCATTTTTTAAAAACAATAAAATACTTCTCTATTTTTTGAGGGGACAGAAATTAAATGCCACTACATAAAATGCAGATGATTAAAATTATTAAATTTTCTTCCAACTTTAAAATAATCATGTCCGTGGATTCTTTTGACTGAAAAGTATACGCATTAAAACCCAAGTTGGTAGTGAAATGTATCGGAAAAAATCTTGGAGTATAGATTTTTGGATTTAAATAAATCATTTCTGTAAAAAAAAAAATCCCTTCATCGGTTTGAAACGGCTCCTCACATCACGTAACGAAGATCTCTGAAATAAACAGGTCCACAACAAAATGTGTAATCTACAAAAAAAAAAAGGTATTGTGACATTTTCCTGTAAACCTACAACATGCAGAGATATCAGACCAATCGCCATAAAGTTGTGTAATTGATCTTTTTGTTACACCCAATTCCAAATCCCCAAACGCAATCAATCATCTCATTATTTCTAGACATGTACCACCTAAGAACTGTACAAAGGTCAATCAATAACACATAATTTCTCAATAACAGAAAAACTTTATTCGAAAACCATCAGAACTCAACTTCCAGCAATATTTATCACCGTACCAGTCACCTCGCGAGCAAAACAAAATGCGGGAGTGGTACACGATTCTTATTGTACGTAGTAATTAAATGAGAATCGAGAGAAAAACGGAAAAAAAAACCAATACGAAAATACAGTGTACGCGCATAAGCAAGAGGAAAATTAAAAAATTATCAATGAAAAATAACATAATATATTAATTGCGGCAGTAATCTATGTAAGTGTTGTGAATAATGAGATAATATTGTTGCTGTGATTACCTCTAAGATTGTAAGTAGTAGAAGAAACGAAAAATCACAAAAAAAGGATAAAGTAATGAAATAATTAGTACCAACTGTTAGATGTCACTGTCTTAATTCAATAAATGTTATTTCATTTTAAATTGACGAATAATTACATGTCTTTTTCTCTCCCACTCTTCATTTATGTCACAGTCAACACGATGCAACAGCCATTTTATCAATATTCCATATTTCATTTGACAGCTCAATGAATCATGCCTCTATACGGAGAGAAAAATAAACCGTAAAAACGTACGGCTCTAGTCACGTAGAATTTACGTGAAATTGAGTAATCTTCACGTTTTCTTTTTATTTCTTGGCGGACTTTTTCTTAAAAATCCGTAAGCTTGACGAGTTTAAAAAAAAATACGTGATAGATATTTCCTGACGATCTCTTATTTTTTTCCCGTGATTTGAAATAAAAATGAAAATCATTCTTCAGCCCACGATCACATGACCAGTCACGAACTTCTTCCTGTATTTTTCTCTCCGTGCACTCCCTCAAAAATTATAATTATCATTGGTTAAACAAATGGAGTGAACATTTATACATAGCACTGGGTGAAAATTTCCCCAAAATATTTCAATCGACTTTTCAATGCCAGCAGCAGAGAGAACTTTGATAAACCTCATCATTTCGCCTCAAAACAAGTACTCGCCGTCCATTTCTCACTCCACTGATAAGTGGAGATCTTTCTGTTCTAATCGTAGTGTAATTAGCAGGGCTTGGAAAAGGTGGTCGTCCACTCATTTTCTTCATCTGAAGTTTCATTCCAAAAATAGCAAGTAGGAACCAAATGACCACCAGCCACACATCTTCAACAACATAAAAAAATGAATGACAATAATTACAAATAATCGCCAAATTTTCCAGCAATCCTACCTTTTCCCTGAAACGGTGGCTGAATTGTCGCAACATTGAATTCACTAACTAGGATCCGACGCTCTGTGTTGATCACAATGTACTTGAGATTGGATCCCGTCCAGTAATCGATTGATAGAACAATTGTATAGGCACCAACGAATGCACAGCAAACGATATTCGAGCTTAATGGAAATATGCAGAGTAATAGAGGTACCATTATCATAATAGCTGCATAAACGAGCCAGAAATTTGCATCGCTTTCGAACAGAGGTATACCGTCTGAAAAGGAAAATACTAAATCAGTGGAGAACCGATAAAGTTCGCCATCATTTCATGAATTCTCCAAGTATTCTTCCTTTCCTTACAAATTCACGCAAGTACTGGTGATTTTAATTCCCTGTCCATTTCCCCCCCTCCCCTTCTTCCCCCCCGTATCGCCAAACATTTGCGCCTGATGCAATAACCCATGTACCGAGCGTGTAATTCAAATAGGTTACATACTAAATAAATATTGGGGACACAATTAGGTAAATGTCGAATCTTTCAAGCTGGTTATAGCCTCCGTGGGAGTCTGATGCGTGTGTGCCCCTATTTTTTAGGCGCGTGGTTCCCTTCTCCCTTGCAAAATGACTGCGTAAAATTTCTATGTGTATGGAACGAGGGTGGCCAGAAACTAAGGGTTGGCTTGAGTTGCGTTATGGTGAGAAAGGGCGGGAGGCGAGTTTTTTTTTCTCTCTCTCTATCCCTGGAAGGGGCTTTCCACATGAGTGGCTAACATTGATAGAAAGGGCCAACTGGGGAAAAATACAGAAGGAGGCTGCTTTTCGGTTGCTCTTCATCCCTTCAACTCGGCATTCTCTTTTCTCCCCACTCACTGCGTGGATTTAAACCTTTCTTTCATTATTATACTGTAATTTGCAACTAGCTTCCCTGGGGGTGGTATCATCCAATTGCCTAATTTATCATCATCCTTTTTTTACGTTAACGGAGTCAATGAATTATTCATAATGCGCATGACTTTGTTGGATTGGGGATGATATTCGGAATAAATAGTTGTCGAGAATATTCAATGCGTTATTAAGTTATTGTATTTAATGTACTGTCAATGTGAGATACTTACCGGGAATGCTAAAGTAAATTATACTAGCTATCAAAGCACCGAGGGATAATGAAGCTTGAAGAATGGCAATGCATGGCATCCCATATGAGTACCACAGAGCTATCGAGATTATTCCTGTCACTGCGCCTATTAAAAGAGCTAATCCAAGTTGAGCTGAAAGCAAGAATCACTGATTAAGAACAAAAGATCAATAAAATACAAGTGATGTCATGGTTTAAATTGATTGCTCTCACTGGAAATGTCTTCAAATCCGATAGCAGCCAGACAGATATGTCCAATGATCCCTCCGGAGATCGTCCCCAAGAAAAACATTTCAGCACAAAACCAGACATGACCAATGAATGTGAGGAAAAGACCGACGAAGAAAATTGTGGCGCAGATGACTTTAGAGATTGATGTACCTAAAAGTGAATCGTTTCGATTGATTTGATAAAGGCAACTAGTGATTTATTTCTCGCATACTTAGAAGTGAACAGGACTTGGGGTTTGACAATGGACTGCAGGCGTACGAAAAAGCTGGGATATATGCTGATGATGAATTTTTATAAGTCGCTATCATAACGTACACCGAGCCTGTTCCTGGGTACGCACTGAAGACTCTTCTCATTTGAGATGCCAGAGCAGCTGGTGGCACCTGCAATTAATATTCTACTGTAGAAATTAAAGAGTGTCTTAGTTAATTTATTTATTACTCTCTGTCCAAACTCAGTTATGTTCTTCACAGTCAACATCTTCGATATCGAGGAAAAATACGTCTCGCTGGTGAAATCCCATCCGGGTAGGTAGAGACGATATGTTTCGTAAGTGACCTGATTTTTTTCACAAGGCAGTTGCTTTCCATTCGGTGCAATTGATGAGGCTGGCTGGGCATCGACGTTTAACACCGAATTACCAGCAGATATTTTCAGGAATGGTGATGTTTCGATATTAAATTCCATGTTACAGCCTCCCGGAATTGGAGCTGAACAATATATTCAATGTAATAAAATCGAATGGATCCCCAATATATTGGTATTGTTCGAAAGTGTTTTCAGAATCAAGAGAAAAAAGAGATAAAATTTATTGTGGAATTAAAATGAACAGATGTGGAAGCGATGGAAAATAAAATAGTTTTGACGTCACAGAGTTATTTCAGTGTAATCGGATTATCATCACACTCATGTCATTTGTGAGACTTATCAATGTACGTTCCACTTTTGGAAAAGATAAATGCAGATCATGAAATACCAACCGTTTCTAGGATATACCACGGCTGCCACCAGGGCCTGCAATCCAGCATCGTTATCATTCCTGACAAAAATCTGATGGTTCCTGGGATCAATCTCCAGTCCCACATTCGACCCAGTGACACTTGTTTTATTACCGAACCCAGTGGTGTACGAAACGGTAATATTCCGGTCCTGTGTATGTACTTGAACAATCATGAAGGAAACTACCGGCGGAATATTTACGACATCGATAACAGTAATTGCGTTTGCCCTCAGTTGTACTTGATTAGAAAATGCCCGTCCATTCACATCGGACGCAGTGAAATCAGAAATTGAAATATTGATACGAGGGTAATCTGTAATTGGTGGAAAAAAAACGCAAGAACAATAAAAAAAAATTATCACAAAAAAATTAACAACGCGACAATATTATAAAAAAATTATTCCACAAACAAATGAATACAAAAAAATAATTTATTAAGACTATTCTCCTGATCTGTAGACATATATGAAAAAATACATAACAATTCAAGAAAAATACATAATATCGGCAAATTTCATATTTTTCTCCAATTTATAAAAAAATATACAAAATTCATATTCAACATATTTTAAACATAAATTCCTGGAATTGAAGATAATTTTTTATTTTTCAAAACAAATTTTTTCCACGTAATTGACAATTGAAGAGTTCATTGTATTGGAATGTCAACAAAACATTGGAGGCAGAGGTTATGTTTTCTTACCAGAGGCATCATGGAGCAGAGTCTCTCCAGTCGAAACGAAAACACCAATAAAAATCCCCCAAAATACAATCCCCAATGGTCCTCTAACCCTCTCCATCTAATAAACTTTCTATCAACCGAGATAACGAGAATGCGTTGTTGTATGCCTTGGACAACAGTGAAAACGTCAAAAAGTCACTCGCTTGTGGTACGGCGCAACAGCTGTTACTCCCCTCCCCCAAGGCTCCTAAATGACAGGACGTAAGGGGAATACCCACTACTGATCCTCTCGTTTTCCCAACTTTTATTCTCCACCACAAGGTGTCAGATCAGTCGGCCCCAAGATGGCCACGTTGGATCAATGAAACTCGAGTAAATTTCGTAGTAAAATATCCGAATAATCAAGTATTGCACAGGTGTGTCTTGATGTGTCTGTTGGTTTGTAGTTCGTAAATGGGAGATGGGAAAGGATCAGGAGCTGCTGGAGGCAGCGAGAAGTGGAAATGTCACTGTTGTGGAGAAAATACTTGGACAACGAGCGAAAAGGAGTGGTCCACTGGCAAGGTGGGTGTTAACCAGTGTACAATAATCTCTCAAATTATTTTTATTCTCATTATTGTAGCTCCCAAATGACAGACTATTCCTAGAACATTTTTTTACACCCTAAGAGCCCTCGGGGCACTCAGCTAATTATCTCAGGATCTCTCCATAGTTAATTGCAGGAGAGAATCAGGTTGTACTCCACTTGTTTGCTGTAATGATTTTCCTTGTATCGATGCATTGTCTTAAAAGTCCCAGGAGAAAACCACAGAGATCAGATCATTGGTGAGATGAAAATTCAATGAATGAATTATTTACAGAAATTGCGATGATTGAGGTTAGGAGGATCGAACCTTGTGTTTAATTTCATTCGTGGGTCTGTATATTCGAAATTGGCGTATTGTATGATTTATTTTTTTATGCCCAACATTTATTGGATTTTCAATCGTGAGGAAATTCCTCCCCCAGTACTTTTTTAGATTTTGAGAATGTCTGTCGGTGGAAATTTCAATTTAGTCATTTGTATAATTTAATGAGCTAAATAGGTCGTACGTAAATTGTTAATTGTTCTGAGTTTCATTGCGAATAGTCTTTGCATTCTAATTTTGTTCAAGCTGAATCATTGTCATCCACTTGTTTCAAATTCTTTCCCAGCGGATTTGAAACAGATGACGAATCCAGGGCTGAGTTATAACGAGGAAGCGTGGCAGGTTTCATGGGTTTCCTCGTTATCACTCGGCAAAGCAATAACAATTTCAAACTCAGTTGAGAATGAGTCATGGTGATATTGCAGTGTTAGTATTGCATGCGAGCTGAAGTTGTGTCATGGCATTGAGCCTACGATCCACCTTCTCGAGCTTCCGTTGAAAAAAAAATAAACTGAATGACACATTCAATATAAATAAAGAGATAAAAAATGGTGTGAGTACTGCAGAGGTAAATTGAAGTTCGACTCAATTATCGATCCCTCGCATCCGTTTTTCCACATAATTCTAAAGTTCTGGCATGTGCCACAATAGCTCCTATAATTCATGTTTATCCACTGTCTTCTACACTTTCTTTTTAAAGGCTCTCACTCTACTTCATCAATTTCCTCGGGTTTTTCCCAGTGGGATGAGCTTGTCAAGTAAATTTTTATCGAGTCTTGCCCATCGTCTTTGAGTCAGCGATAATGGAATCTATTTGAGACTGTCTATTTATTTTTGGGCTCGGTGATAAGGTGGAACACTCTCCAGTGACTGCCGAGTCTGTTCTTGAGAGTGCTCGATATAGGACAAGAGGCTCAATGAGAAATTTTCGTACTCGACCATAACGAATATCCGGTGAGGAGAAAAATCAATGCTCTGGTGGATCAATAAATGAAAAATTATCGTGTGAATTCTCAGTTCCAAATATCGTAACCTATTCTGAATAGAACTGACCAAAAGCAGGAAGTGAATGAAATGGAAATGCAGTGATCAAATGATTTCAGAATAAAAGTGATTGAAAGGATTTACCAATAGATCTGTTCTCCTACTCAATTATCCTAAATCGGAAGTTGATCTGCTCCAAATTGAAATGGATAAAAAATTTTCACTCCCACCGAATGCGAGTAATTTGTTAATCCATTTAACAACTTGTTCCACAGTGATTCGGAAATTTACAACCGTCGAGCGTACAATTCGTTAAATAATTCATGAAACGCCACTCGTATCAATGCTAAATCTACACGGAATTATTTTCCAATTCTGTAATCCACCCTCAGTGCCCTTCACACTAATTATCGCATGAACAATGTCAAGTTGTACATCGATATGGAACTCATTTTCATAATGCAGCTAGTTCACAGCCATTGACCCACTCCCCTTTCAATTTGACGATGAAAATCGAAGAGCGGGTTCAAAGCTGTGTCAGCTGACACGACTCTGCACTTCTCAGCCTTGGTACTCGATAATTGAGTCTTCCCACATATGTTTTATTCACGATGAATCAGTCCACTCATCAGTTTTCATGTGCTCCGTTACATTTGAACAGTGAACACTCGGTAAACCTCAGTAAAACCTCAATATTAATCACATGATTAATAAATAATAAACCATGTTTGCGTTTTTCGTATATTAACAGTAAAATTTTCTCTGAATTTAATAAAAACAATCAATTTTATGTGGAACCACATAACAAAAATGAGAATGAAAAAACTATAGTAGAATATTCTTGCTGTTGGATACAAATTATTGTGAGTTAAGTGGGTGATTAACCCGATTAATTAAAGTCCCCTCCCCTTTTAAATTTATTACCACTCCCTAATTGCTCATTTCTCAAACCTTAAGGTAACGTGTGACACTTTAACCTCAACTAGCGTTGCTAAACATCCGAGGGAATTGCCACTCGTCCAACCCATTACGCTTTTACCTTTTCCGCATAACTACAAAGCCCACTTCCTTTCATCCTACGTGTCTAGAGATCGCTAATTGATTCATACCCACTCCGGTCGATTTCTTCGCATCTCCTTTGATGTTTGAGGAGATAAAAAAAATGAGGGAGAAGGGGGAAACCCATAAAAATAAGTGAGAAATAGAGAGGAGGGCTGAGAGGGCGCAGCCCACTCGTTTCGTTTATTCGATGGGCATTTATCCGAGTTATATCCAACGAGGGTGGAATACACGTCTCGTCTCATATCGTTTTTCCTCTTCGCCAGAGGAAACTATCGATTGATGCCTCACCAGCTCTATGTGAGAATGTGTACAGTTATGCGAGACAAGCGCAAGTCCCAGATACTTCTCTCCTCCCGCCTCAAATTTATCGATTTTTTTTTAACAAAAAAAAAAAATTCCCATTGTAGAAACTTGATGGAATAATTCAGATGGATTGGTTCAAGTTTGGTTTTGAATTTGCATGTTAGGAAAATATTTTCAAAGGCATCCCAAAAACATGTCTTTTATCTCTGCCCCAATAATTACACCTCTCATCATCACAATGACAACGCAATGCACACCGAATAAAAATAATATTCAACCCAAATAACTCCGGAAAAACCTTTCCCGTAACACGATGAAACACTCCTAAAAAAACAAGTAAAAATAATCGCAGGTCAAAGAGCCACTTCCCCCTCATCTCCACTTGTAGCTCGAGAAATCCATTCCGCAACTCTGATCTCATCCCCGGTTGCACTCTTAATTAAGTTCCCAGCAAAAAGATCCTTAAAAAAGGGGGAAAAAAAAACAAAGGGAAAAAAATCTCACTACTTCCTCACTGTTTTTACTCACATTTCGAGGTACAAACTGAGATAGAGAGATAGTAATCCAAAGTATCCAGCCAACTGTCCCCTCGAAGAGCTGGAGACCCTGGAGGGCTGGAGCAGCAGGAGAAAAAAAAAAGGAGGGAAGAGGTGGCGGGAGGGTAAAGAAGAAGAGATGTGAGAAGTAAAATGTCGATGTACTTTTTGCTGGAGATCTTCAGGATGAAGATGTGGCTGGGGTGAGGTTTAATTAAAGAAACGTTGGACAAGTGGAGTGAATACGATGAATGGAGGAGTCAAATGTCCCCAATGGGCATGCGACGTTTATTTGCCCCTTGGCTTTCTTCTGGAACTTCCACCTCTCATCCTTTCAACCAGGATCAGTGATACAAACACATGCAGAAAGACATCCTGCGACGGTTGAAAGGGATGTGGGGTGTGTGGACGATGAGGGGGGTTGAATCTACGAATGACTGAGTAGTTGGCTTTGAGTGTCATGATCCCGACGGCCCTCTCACCAGGGCGAGGAGAATAAACACAGGGTAGAGGAGAGAAAAGAGGAATGGGAGGAAGTCGAGAGGACTCTCTTGTGGTTGAAACGTAACGGGAAGCACGTGCCGGCTTTTTTCCTATCCGCAAGAGTCATTTCAATTTT